TGACAATTAACCGAACTTGTTTTTTAAAATAAAGGGGATATCTGTCAAAAATAAGCAAAACGTTAACTTTATCCTAGTTGCATAAAATTTGGCATATGGATATAAAATTGCCGTAGACACAACTTTTTCAAGTAACCTTTTGTTAAATTCGATCTAGAAATGCACTTTTTCAATTTTTTTCAAAAAAAAAAGTTGAATTTGACAACTGAACGTCAGTAGGTCGCAGTTGGCCGCATCTTTTCAAGTTGAATTTAAAGCACAAACAAGTGCCGAAGTTAAACTTCATTGAAACTTTTCGAAAAAAAAGTTTCCCATATGGTGCGCACTTTAATGGTGACACTGTATATCATACAATCCTAAATTTTCTTAAAGGGGCATTCTAACGAGAAATCACATTTCGAATGAAAAAAAATACGTGTCCTATTTGAAAAAGAAATAAAAAGTGTTTTAAGAGTTTAGATTCACCCACTACTAGGAAAAAAGAGTGTAGTCAAATTATCATTCGGTAATAAAAAAGCTACTTTTCAAAAGCGTATTCATAACAAGACAGACTCTTGAAATGAGCTTTTACTAAAAATAGGGACGGTTGAATAGATGGATATCTAAGGGAGCTACTTTGTTTAAGTACTTCAATTAACTCAACAAATGAAAATATTCATATAAATCAATACCGTTCTTGTTGAAAATGATCGCGTCTCATAGATTCCGGTTCGAAATAATACAGCAATATATTCAATATGGTTTATTGTATTGTTTTTTGTTAATACAAGTAAAAAATTACCAATTATATCATTAGGTTCATCCTTTCATAGATAATGTAAATGAAACAGTAAAATATCTTCATTCTGAATATACTTTCACTGGCAGGATTATATGGTTCTACGAACCGTCCCTTTACTACTTTGACCATAATTACTGAGCATTTGAATAACCATTATATATTTTTGCAAACTTATAAACTTTCAGAAAATAGTAACCTAAGGGAGCTAATTTATTCGAAGTAGGGAGTGAAATTTATTAAAAATGTTTATAATAATTAATAATGTGCTATTTGAAAATTATTATCAATGTATTCTGGCTCAAAATCATACAATAATATATTCCAAGATATGTGATGAAAATCCGTAATATATACGATAGCTTCTTCAGACGTGTCTATACTATAGTATATACTACAGTATAGACTATACTACAGTATAGACACGCCTGTCTATACTGTGTCTATACTACAGTATAGACACGCCTGAAGAAGCTTTTGTATAGCGAAACGTATTGCGTTTTTGTAAAACTGTTTTGTGGAAATCTTACAATAAAGTGTTTCATGAATATATAATATATATTTTTTAACAAATTTCTATGATGATTATTAATTTTTTTTCTGTAAATACTAGTGGAAAATTATCAATGGATTCAATTATATTGGATTTATCCCTATATAGGAAATATACGTAACGTATTTGTGGTGCTTAATTTGTAGCAATCAATTTGAAAGTCCTTACTCTATGAAAACGATTAGTTGAAATGAATTAAAATGTGTTTATTTCGCCAAAAGCGTGAAAACGGTAACCCCAAGAAATCTTCAGGAGAATTGTGTGAGCAAAAGACTAACGGGGTATTTATTTCTATCGTGTAAATACCGGTATGGGTCCAACGAAACGCTAGAACATATCTCAATAGAGATTCGTTTCATGGAAAATAAATACAGCGCGNACTTTCAATAATCAGCGATTTTAAATTTATGGAGAGAACAATTTGGCGTGGCGTTGACAAAATAGTTGAAAATCTATTTCTTCCCCTAGTTACAACCTATCAATTTTTATATATACAAATTTTCAACTTCTTTATCAGGAAAATTATCCATTCTATGAATTTAATATTGGTTCTTAAATTTAGATACATTTTCATTTAATAATTTTGTACAAAAATAGTTAACCTCACTTATATGTAAATATAAATAATTTCCAAAAGCATCACTTGATGTCAGTTTCTAAGGAAATGGTTCACAACAAAAATTTTTGAATTTTACATCATTCCTAAATAATAACAATTACCACGCCACTGGAAATGACAGCCGCAGTTGCAGTTGAAACGTTTGCAGATTGTAACCAAAGAAGACCACGGCAAAACCCGGAAACCAATCAAAATATTGACGCCAGCCGTGAAAGCCTACATTTCTTTATGAATCACATACTCACTGGGAAGTTAGTGTCAAAAAATATTTCCAGATTTTTTGATCTAGAGATCATGTTACCGGTGAATTCTTCATTAGGATGCGAAAACTACAGATATATAATATATTGGCATTGTCCTTGATAAAAAACCCACTTGGAACGCTCACTTGGAAAAAGTTTAGCACAAAGCCAGACTGCCCCTATGGCCTTGTCGGAGGATTTGTGATTAAACTTGGGGTTTAAGTCTCGAATATATCCATTGGATTTATGTGATGATTGTCAGATCAATGATCACTTATGTTGCAATTACCTGGTGGCCGAAGGCTTTATAGAAAACGGCCCCTGTCTCTGTAAGTCAGAGAGGTTCGCTCTCTGACTTACAGAGACAGGCTTGTCTGGCCATAAGTGGTACCATACCGTTAGCGGCCATGGAGATCCTTCTGGATCTACCTCCTCTCCACATTTTTCTGAAGGGAGAGGCTAGATGGACTGCATATAAACTTGTGCACATTGCCAATTGCACAAATCAATTCAATGCAGAGTGCAACATACTGTGGGTTAACACTGGAAGTCACAGCATTCTGGAAATGACCTATGCCTTTATGCCTCCAACTGTCACCACGAATTGCTTTATAAAGTACTGTTCCCGAGTAGAGAGAACTGGATCCTCCGGGAGAAGGAAATATTGAGAGCAGTTAGTTTACAAATGGATCAGAAACACATTCCAGTGCAGGTGTTTTCTGTCGCCGACACAGGACAAAGATATCAATCTGCCTAGGAACCTATGCGACTGTATTTCAAGCGGAAATTAATGCTATTGAATTGTATGCGGAGATATTGGAAGGACCTAACCTCATTAAGAAGTTAATAAAAATATTCCTGAACAGTCAAGCGGCATTAGAAGCTCTTGGCTCCTACCGAGCAATGTCTAAATTGGTAGCAAATTGCCAAAAACGACTATCCTCGATAGGAAGACTCAACAGATCGTCTCTAGTCTGGATTCCTGGCCATACTGGCCTGGCTGCTAAATCCCTTGCAAGAAGGGTGCTGCAAGCAGCTTCATCGTACCAGAACCTGTTATTGGCATCGCTTTAGGCTTTACCAAACAAAGATTGAACACCTGGATGGCAAGGAGATTTATGAACTAGCAGAATCTTACAGGATTGGCTCACTCCAAGGCGTTTATTCACCATTCGAAGCTTGACACCAAACAGTTGTTGTACTCTAGTAGGGATGAACTACCATATCTAACAAACCTTCTCACAGGTCACTGTCATTTGAATCATCATATGCAGAGACTTGGACTCTCGGAAAACAGTGTGTGTTTGTCGCCTGTGTTTGGAAAACGATAAAACATCAGAGCAATTATTCTGTGCCTGCCCCGCTGGGGACCGAAAACTACAGATATATTGTCTGTTTTTCTGGTTCTATGAAAAGGACCTAACTCACATTGGGGTTGATTCTCATTCCATTCTGAATTGAAGTAATCATTTTAAGTTGATTGCATCAGCACGGTAAGCACCTGACTCAGCGTTTTTCAAACATGTGTGAGTTTTCTCGCTTTTGATTTGGAATTAGCTGCTAATAAGACTATTCAGTTTATGATTTCTGAAGTAGCTAATCAATTCCGTAACTGCAATAGAGTTACCTGCAACATTCAGAAAACAATCATTGATTTTTATGTCTGATAATTTGTCAAAACTCTCGACCTACGACATTTTCGATAATGAAATAACAAAGAGATCCAATAAATTTCAGCATTTCATTCACAGAGGTGCTGAGTACAACTCAAGTGGCGCAGCTTGACAATGTCAAGTTGACACTTTGATTTTCAATGTTATTTACGTTTTGAAATAAATTGATATGAGATGAAATTATTTTTAACATTATGGCCAATAAATTGAAATTCTCTTCAGAATACACGCGACAGATTTCGATTCTTCCACCATCCATCATCATGTTGGGTGAATCTCATTTCTCGCATCGAGACAAAAACAAAACAAAAGCGAATAGAATTGAAAAACAGGGTGCCGTCAATGCATCTTCTGCTGAACTGAATGAACAAACTATTGTCAATTTATGTCAACATTTGGCATTCATTCAAAATAGCCTAACTTCATTGACAGTGAAATAATTTGTAAGTTAATATCGTAATAATGGATCCCCTACCTCTAATCCCGGAAGACGATTCAAACCATGGAGTTACCTCTACATTAAGAAGAGTCTTTCAAAATACTCTGGATGGACGATTCTATCCACAAGACATTGCAAGAAATATTTTGCGAAGTGATGTGGATGAAGAGTTAAAATTGAAAAAGAATGCCAAACGAGTGTTACAAGTAAGTTCACTATCAACTTTTTGAATTCATTGGAACGCCTATCATTTTATTTCAATCTCGAATTTCAAAGGTTGTCAATTAATTTGAATTATTGTCGTTTCAATATCAATCGCAAAACTAAACATATCTGATCTCATATTCACTCATCTTCATTCATTTCTGTATGAAATTTGTTTTCCTGGGAGAATCATTAGATTTGCGGATTTATATCTTTTTAATTTATAGCAGTTTTTCATGTTTATCCAAGAAATAAGTCACTGCAGGCCCTGGTATTAAATTAAAGCATAAAACCACATCTTTGAACAATATAACATTATCATTCTCGTGATCGTATTCAGAATAACTCATTATTGTTGGTTTTATGATTGCTCTGATCGATTACTAACACCTGGGCTGAACAGTCCCAGGCCTAAGCCAAAAACGCGTATTTTTTTTCAAAGTTAGCTTTATTCATGAGCCACAAATTTCTTTCAGCGCCGCTCTAACATTTCAATACTATTTTTGTGGAACGATCTATCTTTCGCCTCGAAATAAGCCTCAGTTTCAGCAATTACTTCTTACTTTCTTACCGGTGAGCATTATTTTTGAGGTCTGCGTGTTGGAAGTGTTGAATAAGAATGCGTATTGAACTCATGAACTATAATTGTACTTTACAACAATACTCAACGNATTTGGACGTCCACTGCGTTCTTTATCATCGGTGTTTCTATGACCACGTTTGAAGTAAGTCAACCAACATATAATTGTTAATTCTGATGGAGCGGAGTCTTTATAACACTTATCAAGTCATTGCTTTCCATCAGGTAGCAGTGTAAAATTAAAACACGAAATTCTTAGCACAATAACTCACAAACCTATTAGTAGAATATCATGAAATTTCAACAGCTTTCTTCTTTTGAATGTTAGCACTAATCGAAAAAACGGCGAATGCAGTAAGACCAGTGCCATGTATGTGTTAGACCCAAGGGTTTTCAACCCATACAGTATATTGGGGTACTGTTTTTAATTTTTCAGAACTTATCCTCAACAATTGATTTCCTGTGTTCCTTCTTTTTTATACGTCTCTCATCTGAATGCAAACTTACTAATGGATAAAGTCACATTTCTCAACAAAATCTTTTTGAATATTAACTTAGCTACGTCGATTCATTGGAAAGAAGTTCATTTATACGGAAGTTATTATAAAAGCATTTGCCTTTGATTCATCATAACTATCTACCCTTGGTTGCATCCTCTTATGCACAGTAACTGTTTTCATTTGATCTTAAAAACAAAATGATATAAAACCTCAATATATATGATATTAATACTCAGTACAGGGCATAAAACATCACAATTATTATTTTAAAAGTTTCATAAATGATTTTTATTGAACCGGATTGTTATCAAAATATCACTTACCCTTCGGGGGATAGGGCCTGTCCAGCGCACACTACGGTGACAAAAAAATAATGATAATAACGTCGTCCAATCGCTTTACGAATCGGAAGGACGAAATTCCGGCCTTGCGGTTCGGAAGATTGCACGGCGTGTACACAAGATGGAGGCTAAGATCACGTCGGCGAGACAACACGCGTCTCGTATCCAATGTGTAATGGATTACAGGGCGGCCAATAGGCCTTTTACGTCCGCAGTGCGGCGAATAGCCGCCAATCTACGACGTATCCATCACACTTTAAGTCAAGGCGTACTGCTGACCAACAAACAGCACTGCCTTGATAGGATACGAATGCTAGTGGCTGCTAAGAAGTCACTAGTGAGGCGAGCGAAAAGTATCGCGGAAAACCTTTAAGCGAGAAACCTTCTCGCTTATTCGAAAAGCCTCCACGTGTTGTGGATAATCTGCCAACCGCTGATCAGGTGCAATCCTTCTGGAAGGATATCTATGAATACCCGCAGCCACTCAACTTAGGCACTCAAGCCCTAGCGCAGTTCGAAGCTTTCAACAGAGAGCTTCGACAGCTTGAGCTCAATGAACTGCGCAACCCGATAACCCCAGATGACGTTCGAAGAGCCCTTGTGAGTTCCAAGAACTTTGCTGCTCCAGGCCCAAATGGGCTGAACACTTATTGGTGGAAAAAACTACCAAGCACCCACCGCCATCTGGCCAGAGTTTTCAACTCAGAGAGAGCAGCCAATTCCGGATTGGCAGATAACATGCTTGAATTCGTGTTATAAGTTGTTTACAAGCATCTTATACACACGAATACTCACCGCAGTTGACCGAGTGTTCGAACGGATATATGAGCAGAGAGGGTCGAAGAGAGGAGTCGCTGAATATAAAGAGAACATGCTCATCGATAGATGTATAACGCAGGACTCGATACAATATAAGCGTAACCTCTCTATGGCCTGGATCGATTACCGTAAGGAATTTGATATAATTTCGCATGAACTCATCTTGCATTTGCTCAGATGCCTTGCGGTGCACGACAGAATAGTGAGATGCATTGAACAACTGATACCACTTTGGCGAACTGGCTTCACCATAATATATGGTCAAGCAAGAGTCCAAACAGAGTGGGCAACTTTCAGAAGGGGTGTATTTCAGGGTGACTTCCTGAGTCCTCTTCTCTTCTGCATCTCACTATTGCCATTATCCGTTGCGCTCAGAAATACTCGAGGGTATAACTGTGGCACCCTAAGAAACCGGAGGCACAAGGTGTTTTATATGGATGATCTTAAACTTTATGCCTCTGGAGAGAAGGATCTCCATCAGTCCTTGAGGGTGGTGGAAGAGTACACGCATGCTATCGGTATGAAATTCGGGATAGGCAAATATGCAATGGTCCATATCAAAAGAGGACGATGCAGGGACTACGGAGAGGATGTGCAGCTCGTAGATGGAAGCATACTACATCATCTGGATGGCGGAGAGACGTATACTTACTTCAGGGTGGAACAACGCCACTCACAAGAGGTAACAGCAGTGAAAAACTGCCGTTCCAATCTTACTCTACTCGTTTGGAGTAGTGATGTGGACTCGGGAGGAGCTGTATCAACTCGACGTAAAGACCCGAAAAATTATGCATCTCTCTAGGAGTTTGCATCCCAAATCGTCCGTCCCACGGTTGTACTTCCCCCGACAACAGGGAGGCCGTGGATTTTTGAGTTTGGAGTGTCTACGTGACAGAATGGTACTGGATATACCCGGTAAAGTCGTCAGAAGTTTGGATCCCCTTCTCTGCATGGTCCGTGACCATGAGAGCAGGAATTGGAGCATTTCTCTTCAGGCTAGCTGCCCGAGCAGCTGATGAACTCGGTTAAGTTTTCGACACTGAACAAGGTGACCATAACTCTGTCACCGAGTTGAAACCCGTTCAGCAAATATCTCATATAAAAGCCGCAGAGATCACCTCACTTTTGCGGAAACACAACGATAAGTCAATACATGGGGTCTTCAATAACATTGAAGACCTTGGCTTACCAAAGCGCATGACTTTCGCTTTCCTCAGGTCGAGTGGGCTGAAGTCGGAAACTGGGGGGTTCATCATGGCTTGCCAGGATGGTGTTTTCAATACCTCAGTCTACCGCAGTCGCGTGATGGATATAGAGGTTCCTAACACAAGGTGCAGGGCCTTCCGCGAGGCGCCCGATACCCTAATGTACTTGCTATCAGCATGTCCAGCATATACGGTCTTAGCCTATATCCATCGACATAACGCAGCCCTAAGAGTGCTATATTACCATATACGGCACTCTTACGGTATTGACGAGACACCAGTGTTGCCCTACGCTCCAGGGGATATTGAATCCATAAGCTAATAAGCCTGATGTAGTCCTTCTCGACCACCAGTGCAAAAAGATATTTGTCGTGGAGTTTTCAGCTCCTGGCGAGATGAATATCGTCAGAAAAAAGGAGAAAAAACGGATAAAATATGGGAAATTTCTCTTTGAACTCCGCAGACTCTATCCAGATCACTCTGTCAAGATGGTTGTTCTGATTATTGGAGTCCTTGGTGAAATGATGTCCTCTTTACTCTCGAATCTTGAAATCATACCGGCTTGCCTCACTAAGGCAGAAATCTCAGCCGCACAGATGAAGAAGGCTGTCCTTTTCGGCTCACTGCGCTTGCTCAGGGCACATGATTCTCGGACCCAATGATCACTTGCCCCACGTTATGGGGAGTGGTCATTGGTTGATAATGCTGGCGCGCCCTCCTGAATGTATCGGGGCTTCGGGGGATAGGGCCTGACCAGCGCACACTACGGTGAGAAAAAAATAATAAAACTTCTTTATTCACCTGAAGAAAGAACATAGAGAATTTACAAAAAATATTGAGGTGAATGGGCGGAGTGTCAGCAAAGCTCTTTTTAAACTCAACCTTCGAGAAAAAATAAAAAAAATTTTGAAAGGAATAAAAGAAAATTACAGTACATACATAAATTATTATTATTCAGTCACCAAATCTTTTGTGTAAACGCATGAGCCACGGTCAGCATGAGGAAAGTGAACTACTCAAATAAATGCTCTTTGAGTCTTTTTTAGAGTTTTTCAACGTGTAGGATCTGAATTCACTTGGCAGGAGATTGAAGAATTTAGCTGCGTTGTATGCGAAACTGCGAGTAAAAACAGAAGACCTGTGTTCAGGAATGACCAGCACCGACCTGTTTCTAGTGGAAAAGCTGTTGATGTTTGAGAAAGAATTCAATTTTTTCATTAAATACTGTGGCATTCCAGACTATGTGGGTGTTTGTGAGCAGGTGCAGTGTCCTGAGTTTCTCTAGTTGCAGCCAATCTGATTCCTTCATGACCAGTGATATGTGGTCGTATTTTCGAATGCCGAAAGAAAAACGAAGGTAACTGTTATGGATTCGTTGGAGACAAAACGTCACCATTTATATGCAATCTTTTCGGTCCAAAGATCATTACTGCCGACTTTTTGGAGTTTAACTTCCATTTATGAGCTGATGAAATATCAAGGATGGTTTGTAGATTACGATTAATGAGGTTTTAAGCGGAATCAATGTCAGGGAACTGAAAAGAGAACTACAGTTGAGTATCATCTGTATAATGATGAATGTTGCATTTTTCTTCCGGAAGTCACAAATATATAAGTTTGATCCTTGGGGAACACCTTTGGTTACGGGCAGAGTCACTGAGCTGATACCGTCCACCAAAACTCTTTGAGTTCGGTTCGATAAGTAATTTATAACCAGAGACAGCGCATTCACAAATAAACCGAAGGAGCTGAGTTTATCGCACAGGATGTCAAAGTCAAGAGTGTCGAAGGTTTTACTGTAGTCCAGAAGTATTAAACAAGTTAATTTACTTTCATCGACAACTTTGAAGATGTCGTCGGTGATGGAAAGTAAAGCTGTGATTGTGCTGTGTTGAGGTCTGAAACCAGATTGCACGGATGAGATGATTTGGTGATCATTTATGAAGCTGCAAATTTGGTCCTTCATGATCATCTCAACAACTTTTGAAAGACAAGGTAGGATGGTGATATGCCTCAGGTCAGAGAAATCCGACGGGTTGCACTTAGCTAAAGGAATGAAGACACCGTCCTTCCGATAACTTGGTAAAACCCCCTTAGTTAAAATGGCACGGATCCAATAGATGACTATCTAAGAGATGAATCATTAGGAGTGTGATATTGTCTGAGCCGACTGCGTTACTTTTGAGACGTTTCAGGCCATTCTGTATAACTGCAGACGAGACCGTACTCAAAAGAAAAGGTTTATGAATTATTGGTGGATGGTGGTTATCTTGCAAGAGACAGCCAAATGGTCGGATATTCCACCTACGTCAGAGTCTTCAATACAAGACACCTTATCTTTGCCCGAAACAAGGATGATATCTATCAGTGTTTGGGAATTAGAAGTTATGCGAGTAGGCACCTCAATAATTCGATAAAGACTGAAATAATTGAATAAATCTAGTAGGAGGTGGCATTGTCGGTTATTTGTGAGTATGTCTATATTGAGATCACCGGCTGCGAGAAAAAAATCGGAGAAAGGTAACAGATTGCTTAAGCATTGATTTACATCACCGGAAGGAGGACGATAAACCACTCCAAGAATATAAGTCTTAACAACGATAAGAAGTAGAGATCCATAGCTGCTCGAGATGCGAGCCGATATGAGAGTAAATTGTTTTGAAACTAATTTTATTACTGATAAAAAATAGGCGACTCCTCCACCTCGACCATCTCTATCGGCACGTACTAACTGATAGGAGTTGATTTTAACTGAATCTGAGCTTGAAGATGGATTTAGCCACGTCTCAGTAACACCAAAAATATCTATGTTTTCTCTCAAAATATAATCCTTTAGTTGACCGAACCCAGTGAACAGGGATCTCACATTCAAATGGGCAAAACTGAAAGATTTTGCCATTGAACTTTGATTCAGTAGTGCACAAAAGACTTTGTGGTTAATAATAATGTAATAAAATCAATCAAATTTATAAGTCGGAAAATAAGATACAATAAATAAATCGATACAAGTGTTAGAAAAAAAGGCGAAAAAGCACTGTCAACTGCTTATTTATCTTGTTAAGTGGAATTAGTCCGGGTGGAATGGACTCTATGTCTAAGTTTTCTCTTGGGGGATTTCTCTTCGAAGGAAGAACAATATTTTCTCATCTTTATCCTCTGAGTGCTTATCGCTACGCAAAACCCCAGGTTTCGTTTCCAAGTCTGTTAAAGAATAGGTGTTTTCATTGATGACCAGTAAATTATTCCGTATAGTCGCTTTTATTCCGTTTTCTTTGGCGGTATTGAGATGTTTCCTCAGAGACCTATGGACGAGCTGGTCTTCAGGGCTTAAGTCGTTAGCTACAAAAATGTTTTTGTTCTTCAGTTTATGGGTATTTCGAAGTATCTCCACTTTCTTCCAATAGGACAGTAATTCAATTTTCAATATCTTCCTATTACCTTTGTTTGTTAAAGTCATGCAGCTTGTATTTCTAGCAGGCTACTAAGTAGGGCTAGTGCATCCTCAAGTTGGATGCCAAACACCACTAAGTTATTTCGACGAATTCTGCGATCCAGTGATTGCATCCCTTTTTTCTGATAAGCGTTTTCCTTCTCTAGATACGATATTTTCTGGTTAACGCATGCTACCTCCTTTTTCAATTCAGCTAGTGTATCCTGAAGATTTTGGGCCGCGTTCTTATCGCCAGGCTACCTTTCTGTTCAGGACCATAGGAATTCGATTTAATTTTTTGTCTACTTTAGAATGGTATTCAATGATATTAAGTTATTTCGGAAATAACTATTTTGCTCAATAGCTAAGTGAGCTATTGGTGGTGAGTTCTCACCTTTGGTGTATTGGGAGATTTGCAAATGAGCAATGAGACACTTCAGCAACGAAAATTTTGTATGGATATAAACGAAAGAAAAAGGTTGGAGCACGAACAGACTGCCAAATCACTTTGTTCACTGTATTCTCTCTTCTTTGTTCACTTACTTCTCCTTCGTAACAAAATAAAAAAAATCATGAAAATCGATCAATAAATTGACAAATGATAATGAGAACTTCAAGGAAATATAGTTTTACTTCTTCATGCTACGAATATATCGTAACACAGATTTCACTTTTTGATTCATATGCCCGTTTTTTTTCTCTATCCTCGTCCTACGGTTAGTGAATGATTTTTCAGTCAGCATGTCAAGTTTGTTCCTCATTAGATGTGATGTGTCTTCAGTTTATAGCCACAAAATTTTTTCAGCGCCGCTCTAACATTTCAATACTATTTTTGTGGAACGATTTATCTTTCGCCTCGAAATAGGCCTCAGTTTCAGCAATTACTTCTTACTTTCTTACCGGTGAGCATTTTTTTTGAGGTCTGCGTGTTGGAACTGTTGAATAAGAATGCGTATTGAACTCATGAACTATAATTGTACTTTACAACAAAACTCAACGGTGAAAAAGTTTATTGACATAATTATAAAAAATATGACATAAGTCAATTTCAAAAAAGGAATGCCATGTTGCCTGACTTCGGGCATGAGTCGATAGCTACAGTTCCACATGTTGTTGGGTTTACTGATTACTATATAAGGACACATTGCAAAAATAAATTTGGATAGGCAATATTGTGAAATTAATTTTTATATAGCTGAAAATTGTTTTATATAAACATATATTGTAAAATAATAGATAAGGCAAAATTGTAAAATTAATTTAGGTTGGTATACCTATATGGTTGGTACGCCTGGATGGTTTACCTGTATGGGTTACCTTTATAGCATAAATAGGGTTAGCTCGCATCAGTTTCTAGTTTCAATCTTCCTCTTTGAAGATGATCACTTGGTGATCAAAACACGTGTCGAGGTGTCAAAAATAACGATTTGGTATTGGGAAAAAACTCCAGTAATATTTATGAGTTTAATCTTCCTCTTGAAGATTAGAAAAGACGTGTCGAGGTGTTATAAGTAACGGTTTGGTGTTGGGAAAAAACTCCAGTAATATTCATTGTATTGTTTTTGCTCCGTTATAGATACAAATTGTTGAATCTTTTCAACACCCGATTGATGCTTTTATATGTAGTGGAGGTATCTACTAGTATGTGACATTTTTGGTAAACATTCGTATTATAGTGATCTGATAACTTTTTTAACATTATATCATGGAAAAGAAGTGAAAGGTGTCAATCCTCAAAAAAAACCCTTTTCGAGATCTTTTTCAAAGCTCCATATTTTTCATTTTCCAAATTCATGAAAAAAAGAATTGATTTCTTATGATTTTTAGGTTTATGCAAATGCCCAAGGAACATTGCAGATGATTCAGAACGCAGAATACGATATAATGGCACAGAAGGGTTTGTACCTGATGAAGAAAGATGAAATATTGAGAAATTTTCAACTCAAAGAAAACCCTTTTCGAGATCTTTTTCAAAGCTCCATATTTTTCATTTTCCAAATTCATGAAAAATAGAATTGATTTCTTATTGATTTTTAGGTTTATGCAAATGCCCAAGGAACATTGCAGATGATTCAGAACGCAGAATACGATATAATGGCACAAAAGGGTTTGTACATGATGAAGAAAGATGAAATATTGAGAAATTTTCAACTCAAAGAAAGTTTGAAATTGAAAAGGTGCGATTTATTCAAGGCTTTAGAGAAAGCTTTCGTTGATGAATTTGGCCTAATACAATCTAGTGATTTGTTGCCTGAAATTGTCAGACAATATTTAGGTGAGGCTTCATGAAAAATCATTATTTCAGAAAAGTGACTCGTACAATACGCCTTTTCAATACACAACAATTAACTAAAATATGATTTTTTCGTTAACCAGCTGTCGCACCCCTACGACAACCCTAAGAAGTCGAAACTTGTGCAAGCTAAGGACTACCGAGGTCTTACCTTTTAACGTGCGATTCCTCACACGAGTTGGACGATAGCAGGTGAAAATCGATTGTTCTACCTACGGCTTGAACCACCGACTCACAAAGCGGTCGATTGAATGAGTGAACAAAGCCCCCTCGTCGAACCGACCGACTAGTTTTAGTTAATTCAAATAAGCGAACTAATATAATAATAGAAGACAAACTCCAAAATCCGATAAAATCTAACTCTTAATGTGTAGTGACATCTGTTAGCAAAATAATTAAACATTTCACTATTCATGACTGACTGAAACGTATACACCGTTTTATTAATGTGAGAACACTCAACTGGATGTCGTTATAGTACATTATTTGAATCGATTTTTACCAGATAAATTGCAAATACGGTAGATTTGCAATACACATTAATACACATTTATACATTTGTATAAACAAAACACGTTAAAGTATCTACATTATATTATTATTCAGAGGTTATCTTACAAAATCTTTAAAATTAAATATACGAATTTTCCATAGAAATTGCTCCATATATTTGTGAACAAAATGAAAAATTGTTCTACTTCGTTCTCACTTATCAATGCAATCAATATCGTAATTTTCAGCTGATAACGAAATAATGTGGGGAGATTATTCATATATAACAATTTAACTTTCAAATAAGCTGTTGTATTTGAAAAAAGTCACATGATGTAAAAAAATGAAGTATTACTATTTGAAATTTTGAAAGGGGGTAGCTGAAGGTGAAAACAATAATAGATTTTGAACTTTTGTGTAACTTAATTATCAATTGTTTTTGTAAATTCGGTTCCATCTGTAGAACACTAAAACTGTTTCGATTTTACACTGAAACATTACAACCAAGGCCGTAGCGAAAAGGAAAACCGGGAGGGAGGGGGGAAATCCAAATTTTTCCCAACCCCACCAGCAAAATTTCCCAACTTTCGAAAAAATGAAAGCCAAGGGATTAGTTACTACTATAACATATTAATTTTCTTACTTAGGTATCCAAAGATTGGCTAAATGCTTATGCCCGTTAGAGTATGCACAAACAACAATAAATTTTGGTAATTATAAAAATAATAATTGGAATTATTCTACTTTGGACCAAGGTCCTTGGTTTTCCACCATATCCACCATGTATAGGAATATTCAATACAAATGAAAGGAAACAACACTTAAATAATATTGTGCTTATTGTTTTCTACTATTATTTTTTCTATCTTCACGGCCCGAAATTTCCCAACTTTTCCAAGTCGAAAAAACAGCGAAAAGTTGGGAATTTTGTTTTCCACCCGCTTCCCCTCTTTTTGAAAATTTTCAATTTTCTTAGCGGGAAGTTGAAAATTCAACTTCCATAAAAAAATTTTAAAGGCCCTCCACTCCTTCGTTGCCCCAGAGCCTCCAGACTTCCAAATCCGGCCCTGCAACCAAAAAACAATTAGGGAGTATGCCTGAAGCTTACGGCTCAATGAATTACTAATCATGTTGCAATCATGGAACACTGTGACAAGCAACTTAAAAAAATGATTGATTTGTGGAATATTTCTTCACAATGGTAATAGATTCCTTATCTTGTCAGCTGACCTGAAAGATCACTCACCAAATAAAGTATTAGGTGAGCCACAATAAACCTTTGCGGATTGCAGTGGAAGGCCAAATAGATTTACTTACTTTCGACCTACCTACCAAGTATTCAGTATTTGTTTAAAAAAATCTTGCATGGTCGTTAGCAGCTTTATTGTCTTTCAGGCCAATCTAGCTGGGAATCCAGACAAGAAACAATTTGTTCAGTTTTTGCTATTGAGGAAGTTTTTTTTGGTAATCAATTTCCAACTTAGATATTGCTCGCTGAGGGACCAGTGCTTTCAGAGCATTTGAGGTTGATTTCCGTCAATCTTTCTACACTTAAATTGATGACATAAATTCTCGTCTGAAATACTTTCACTTAGGACTTTAGGTAGTTTGATATATTTATCCTGGGTCTTCAAAAATTTTCAACTATATTTACCTGTACCATCTAACTGTAAACCAGTAACTATCTACTCTCTGTGTTTCCTCTTTTCGAAGGATCCAGGACTATTGAATCTCAACACACTTACCATATTTCCACATATTTCAGTTTTTATTTCACGCTGTTGTCTTCAGATTTCAGATATTACACGTCCAGTGACCATGTATGTAGTAAATGTTCAAAGAAGGAAAAAGGGGAAGTGGTCATTCATTTGGAGTGAGTTAATACTTTAAACTAACGTTGAATTGTTTAACCAACGGATGCACTTTTCAGAAAGAATAAAAGTAAAGTCAGGTCTAGAAATATTGAAGTGGACGCAGATAAGGAAACGATTTCAAATATTCTCAAAATATTTCCTCATGCTGTTACATTTCACAATTTCGAACTTGGTCAGACATATTCAGTATGTATGGAGTAAATGACTTTATGTATGGAAAGGTTCTCAAAAATGAGATTCCCACAAATATTCGAATATTTTATTTATATTTCATCCCAAATATTTTTTTTATTACAGAAAAAAGTGAAAATTATCAATACCAGCCCGATAATACAGGCGGTGTCTTTGAAAGCGATCCCTAGTTTACCCTGCTTCTCTGCATACTTGGAACAAAATTCTAAGTTAGCTCCTGGAATGAGTGTTTCCGCTGTGGTGACCTTCAAACCAGAATTATATAGAAATTATCAGGATGAAGTTGTTCTCAAAAACGGAAAAGGTGATATATGCTACATTGTTCAATATAAAAAAATAGATTCAACTAGTAAATTAGTAAATAGCCTGTGGGGGTTTGGTACTTTCAATTGTGAAGTTGAGACATAACCGATAAAAAAACTTGAAAGACTGGAAAAATAAATTTTACTCTGATATATGAGAGTTTGCCAAAAAAAACATTACTATCAATGCAATGCTTGGTTGATGTTATTCCAATTTCGAATCGGTTATTCCACAAGACACCATTCGGAAAATAACCAGACTAAACTCCTAATGAAATTATGCAATTTTACTACTAGTCATAACTTAACCATCGAGATTCTGAAACAAGGATAAGAACATAGGTTTTCACGGCTGGAGACATAATTAAGAACAAAATCTAGGGTAGCAGGCCGTGGAATGGAATGGGACCTGAAGTAACAAACGTTTCTTCTACTACTGCGGTAGACATCATTAGTGGTATTGTGCGTTTACTGCGAGGACGGAAGTAATCTTTCGAAGTCTCAGTAACGGATGTAACTGAGTAAACACACATATCACTGATGATGACCGCCGCAGAAACAGACGAAACGTTTGGTACTTCTGGTTCAATTCAACTAGGCCGGATTTTGTTTTCTTTAATTCCATCGTATTGAGTCTGTTCTGTTCCGAAATAATAAATCTTCTCTAATCAATATACAATATAGTGTCCCCCAATGGTCCGTTTTAGGACCACTGCTTTTTCTTATGTTTATAAATGACCTGCCCTAGTCATCTCCACTATCGAAGTTTATACTATTTGCTGATGACAGCACTTCCATACATTCAGGAAAAAATTTAAATAACCTGATTTCCACAGTTAAAACTGGAAAAGAACGAATAGAACGATGGTTCCTATCAAATAAACTGAAAGTCAATGCATCGAAAACAAAACATGCTTTTGAGTATGAGAAATACTGGCGAAATTAGACTCACATCCAAGTTTACTTTCTTACTACGAAGTCTTTCGAAAATCGTGAACTTGAGTACCTCACTCACAGCCTATCATGGCCTCATATAGTCATCCACATCCTATGCTATTTCAGTATGGGGACACTAGCCATTGCTTGCAAATCTTCAGTATACAGAGAGGAGCATTGAGAGTTGTTTCTGGTTTGAAATACGAAGACGACTGTAGGGATAAATTCAAACAACAAAGTATTAACGTTACCCTATATATACATATATAGTACACATATATAGTACTACTCCCAAATTCATTCCTACACGAAATCGTTAAAATATGCAAACCAATTACCTGAGACTGTCAAGAACACGTGATGTTATCTCCTATTGGGCACCCAAGCTATACAACGCCCTCCTTGCGGAAGCCAAGGAACTAGAACTCAATAATTTCAAATCAAAACTCAAACATTTTCTCTTACAATATGCCTTTTACGATGTCAATGAGTTTTTCAAAGGTAGTCTTATATTTCAGCACAACTCAATTATACAAATTATAGCTAATTTTATACCTAATTTTAATGACTGTCAGACTTTTAATGTGTGACTTTATCTCCTTTTACAAGCTCTTTCGTACCTATCATTTCTGTAATTATGTTTTATGTAATGACTTGTGTGAACACTCTTGTGTCCTAGCAGCAATAAAGAATACCAAAATCAAAATCTAGGAGCACGGTAGTGTCCCCGCCAAGACAAGCAGGGCTCTATCTTTTCTTACAGCGGCAGCGTTCGATCCTATTTTTCAACTTTTATAGTTTCAGTCTGGATAATGCTAGAAAGTTGAAATTATCAGCTCCTAGGCTTTTATTCATATTAATATCTGAAAATAGTTGATACATTTCCGATCCTAAGCCAATTGGTAATGGTCAGGACACGTATTTGAACTGTTAGGTAGGGTTTTAAAGTTGAGGCTCACTATGAGATCTGATAACATCTTTATGATGCAAGCAAGTGACAGTTATTGAAAAAAATTCATAAATTCGTGAACAGACAGTGTGGAAAATAAAAATCTGTCCTATAAAAAAACAGAGGCCACACCACTGACACAGGAAACATATCCCAATGCTCATAATCAATCAATGGAAAAAATCAATGCAATCTGAATTACCCAAAAGTTATAAAGTGTTGAAATGTGACAATATTTTGGTTGGGCCATTTCTTTTTTTAACGACCCTCTTTGGGTATTTTTATCTGTGTGGTACATATCAGAAATACGCGACGGACTGTGGCTGCTCATTGTTTTGAGGTTCAACTCAGTACACTTCGAACTTCAGTGTTTAACGTGAATTGCTACTTTCGCATAGCACCGCTCTTAGAGCTTGTGTTTTGTTCCTGAAAAAAAATTGTAAAATTGAAATGGAAAATTTTGTACACGTGTAGAAAGGCAAATTTTTTCAATTCGCTCCCATAAGTTCACACATTTTTTCAATTCGCTCCCATAAGTTCACAATTTTCTTTTTTTTTCAGATTGTGTAAAGTGAATATATCCAAAAATGACTTTCGTTCAATATTTCTTTTTTGTTTCGCTATTCTATACTGAAACCAAAATAAATTTTAGCGATTTTGAGATATTAATGTTCCTTTTTTTATTTCATAGGCCGTCAAATACAACAAAAACAATGAAATATTTCTCAAATACTCTAACATAGATTTTCCTTCAGATATCGACCAATTACATCATATGTTATATTTCAACAAAGTGATTCCCCTTACAGCAGTTTCTGCCATAATCAACAACCATCAGAATACTTACGCATCTTTTCAAACCATGAGTAAATTTTTTTTCTCCATCATTTCAAGGTGATACATTCTCTCTGCCAATTAACTGTTCCCGTGATCTTCCGAGGCTGATTACCTGTGTTCTGAAATCCAATGCAAACCTTCTGGAACCAAAGAAACCTGATAATCCGAATTTTTCGAAGGAAAGACAAAGAGCTCTCAACTCCTCGTTAGACTGTGGCAGTTGTCTCGTAAGCCAGTACAATTTGGTATCAGTCATTGTGGAAAACAAAGGAATGTCGGGTAAATTTTTCATAATTACTGAAGAAGAATGGTTTCTGCAAGATATTCAGGTGAGATTTTCTTCGAAAAACAGGAGCGACTGGTGTGTATTACCGTTACAATATCAATGACTAATGAATTTGATGGTTTGGCAGCCTAACTGAAGCCAGATACAGCTGCACGATTGCAGTTTCCCTAGACTAACAAATGGGAGTAGAAGTTTCATTCAATAATCTCTCATCAATTGTATTTAATATTTCTTTTGAATGATTCCAAAAAATGACAGGCGGTGTTTTCTTGCTCCGTCTTCGTCAATGATTACAAATGGAAATCTTCAACAGACCTAAAACACTCCACACGTGTTTCACCAACCATGTCAGTATCCTGATAGGACACCAAAATGTCCTGATATGGTTTCCAATTTGTGCTTCCTGTTCGGCGTAATAGACCAGTCTTGGTAGGACTTTCAAACCAGTTAAGTGAAATCAATTTCTAATGATGCAAATCATTTTTTTTTATTCCTTGTACAATTGAAATCTGGATACCCGTTCCGAACGTTAGATAGGACAGCTCAAAAAACATGTGAATACATGCAATGTGAATCGCTACTTCCGCACAGGCACCGCTCTGAGAGTGCCTTAAGAATTTTCCTTTAGTGCTTGTGTTTTGTCCTTGAAAAAATAATTGAAATCGGCCTTCAACTATTCAGGCAACTTTTCTTGCTATTTTCAAATATCGTTGAAACTTTTGGTATTTTAAATGTTTCACAAGGTTTTTGAAATAAATTAACCAAAAAAAACGATAATTGAGAATCGACTAGCTTTACAATTTTGACAGTTTTAATATAACGATCTTTTCCTCCATACTCTTGCTTCGTCTTGTGATGTTATTAAAAACGGTGCTGTGTCTCTTCCCGAAACTTTGAAGTACACCGTAGTGTTCCATGTTGTTGGCATTTCATATCAATACTTTTCATATGTAACATTATGTAGCATTACTAAGAATGATATCTGTTTCAATTTGATAGCGAATTTTGTAGTACGAACTGGATGGGAAAAAGTAATTTTCATGTATTTCGAAATTCATATGAAAGTAGTTGTTTCGAAACGACTTTCCTTTCGTGTATTTCTATGTTCATGTGAAAATAGTTGATTGGAAAATGTTTTGTCCATCAGTTTTCATCTGAAAAAACTTCTGTGTAGGCTTCTTATCTTCATGAAGAGTATTTATTGAAGTTATTCTATTTGAATTGAGAGGGAAATATTTTTAGGAGAGCTTCATTTTTGAAGAGATATAAAAGATGATCAACCCAAGTGAATTGAAAATTGAAATAAAATCTTTGAAATCGTATAACGATAGTATTGTTGAAATTACATGCAACTCCAACATGGGCAAGGTGAAATTGAAACATCAAATGAATTGAATACTCAATGAACATTAGTGGAGTTTTTTCTTAACACCAAACTTGGACACGTGATCATCTTCAAGAGGAAGATCAGTTTGATATTACTACACCAAAGGTTCCAAACAGGGCATCACAAGTGAATACTCAATAATCACTATCAACTTAAAGCAAAACTTATCAACTCAACTTATTTTCACAACAATTGGTGCTGGTGGTGTTTTAATGAAATGGTAGTAAATAGTTACAAAAGGATATAGATACACGATTCCACAGATTGATTAAGCGCCGTCTTCCATAGGATCATGAGAAGCTATACTTTTATGGCTTGAATAATTTGTTCACAGTAGGAGCTGCAGAGAGAAGCAATGATCGAGTTCTTGAGGAGGTCTTTACAATGGATCACCTTCACGACTCTCGTTCATCATTGATTTTCATTGTTTGTGTTTTCTATCGATCTCATAATTGAGATTTTTTGTAAGGCGATCGTCATGACCTTTGTTGTCTTATTCATTAACATGCCATTGTTGAGGTGTGCTTCAACATGTACAGCATTATATGCTCTGATAAGAATATGTTATGAGGATGACACTGATAACAATCAATTTTCTCAATTTTACAGACTATATCCAACTGTATGGAGCTTTTCGTCGGAGATTTTTGGATTTACCCAAATTTTTTCGAAATTGATACCGATGAGATCATAGAGGTAAACATTATATTCCAACCAATTAGGCCAGGACTGAACATCGAAACCCTGTACGTCATATGTGATAATAATTCTTTTCAACAATTGGAAATAATGGGGGATGCTGTGGAGTTTTCGAAAAATTTCATCAAGATTGATGTTGGATTGATTCAGAAACTTGATTTTTCTATTAATTTTCTCAATTTTTAGTTTCTCCCAGATAACACCGACATATCCGATGTTGACAACTTTTGCATTTACTTTGGGAACATAGAGAATAAGTGTTCAAGAAATTTTACACTGACAGTTCATAATAAAAGGTTGAAATATCAAATTATATATGAAATATCATAACGATTCATTATTTCAGTCCTTTATATGTGGACTGTCTGTGGAAATTTCGAAATAAGGATCTTTATGGAATACATGATTTACAAGAAAATTGGATAACGCAGAAAAATGAAAATCGAAGTCTGCTTCCTTATAGCACGACAGATTATGAATTCGAAATTTTACCAGATGCTTCCGCAAGTGGATACCACAGTTTATTCATCAGGTAAAAATTTCTTGGAAACACTTCACAACTTTTGAAACATCATATATTATAAGTGTTGAATTAAATTTTTGAAAATATAAAAATACAAATGATGCAATATTCAAATTTCTGGAAGATGAATTTTCAAATTTACATATCAAATATATTGGTGGAGCACTATTTTGTAATTTTACAAAGGTGTTCAACTGTCTTAATCACAGAATACTTCTACAAAAACTTTTGCGTTATACAGGGTCTTTTATTGAGCGACCTCTGTCTTGATGTCTTAAAATTCAAATGAAACAAAGTGTGTGTGAGATATTGATTTTCTTATCATTCGAAAGACCTATTGATGCCATTATGTGTGGAATTTAACATCGTTCAAATATTCACCACGACTTCTCTCGGTGGAGCGCATCCGAAACGTCCATTTTTTTCATGACGTTGGCGCATGAATCAGGCGGAATTTGACCGATGTCATAGGTTATGTTGGCTTTGAGGACCTCTGTGGTTTGTAGCTTATACACCTGTGACTTGGGAAAACCCCACTATAGAAAGTCTAATGGGGTCAAATCGCACGATCTCGTTGGCCAGTTCACATCACCTCCACATGAAATGACCATGCCCTCAAATCGCTCGTGCAGAATATCCAATGAGGCATGAGCTGTGTAGCACAAAGCGCCGTCCTGTTGACAAGTAGTTGGTGGCTATATCATTCAATTCAAGCTGAAATAAGCTGGTATTCATCGACCTATAGTGCTCGTTGTTGACAGTGATGTCCTGGCCAACGTCGTTCTCAAAGAAATATGGACCAATGATGCCGCCCAAAATCCACACCTAACAGTGACTTTTTCGGGATGCCTTGACCGCTCTTGGATCTCATGTGGATTGGTATCATCCCAAATTCGACAATTTTGTTTGTTCACGTACCAATTCATCTAGAAACGGGCCACATCGCTAAAGATGATTTTTCGATGAAAATTAGGGTCAGTTGCCAACTGCTCCAGAGTCAATTTAGCGAACAAACGTCGTTGTCTATGGTCGTTCACCTTCAGTTCCTGGGTCAGTTGAATGTTTTTCGGGTGCAGACCCGAGTCAGGACGCAAAATTCGCCATGTTGTGGTCTCCGGTAGACCGAGTTCTTGTGAGCGACGCGAAATTGACTGACTCCGAATATCCTGCACACTCTCACAGACATCGGCGATGTTTTCGGTAGATCTTGCCTTTCGACGACGTATGGGTGTTAGTCGGTCTTTTACTGAAACAGTGGACTCAAATTCATCAACCACATTGTGAATAGTCCTTTCGAAAGGATGATTATGGCGACCGTAAACTGGGCGAAGCGCGCGGTACGTCGCTAGGTGTTGTCACTGGTCTCCGCAAGAGACTCAATCTTAAGCTTGCTGTCAGTAAATTTGATCAAACCCCATCTCTCTTCCAACATCATCGCGAAAAAGGCCACACTTTCCAAACCAGAATAATCTTGTGTGAAAAATACACCAGACTATGTGGAGAGAATTCTCCTCCACCATATCTAATTAAATTGTTTCGAATTCCTTCAATACTGATCAGAATCATCAGAATTAACATCACCAAATATGATACTAATATTCTACGTGATGAATATTTTTATGCCAGAAATCGATACGGAATACTGTTATCAATGCAATTCTCAGAAAATATTTGAATAAAAAAAATACTTATGGTACATGTTTGTTGAACACTTTCTTCAAATATCATGAGTTTGAAATGAACTTTCATAATCGGTTTGTCCTCAGCTTGTTCCTGCTGAATATTCCTTTGGCGAGTATTTCGGAATTTGAGACATTCACGGTAATCGAAAAAAGAGATATATCCGGAAATACATTGAGTGAAGTGAGTATATTTACAACAATAGTTTTCATCTGATCCAGTTGAATTATTTTTAGGCAGTTGATGTTCAAATCACAGAACTTGAAATAGCCTGCTCCATAGACTTTCCTGTGGAAGTTAATGATCAACCTGAAAGGTAAGTCATCCACAGCGACACCTTTATTTACAACATCAAATATAACACTAATTCGAAAATGAACATTACCAGGTGGAATGATTATATGTATCTAAAGTGCAATGCTCAGACGATTAAGAAAAAAACGTTCGCTACGGTAATTTTTTCTGAAATTAGTGATTTTTGGCACGTATTTAGTCAATAGAAATTGAAATTGTATATATCAGTGCGACGTATTTTTCCATTCAACGTCAAAATTATAAAACTCTTTTGAACTCTTCAGAACTGTTAGTAATGTAATGGAAAGGGTAAGTACTTTTCTCCATTATTATAAAATTTATTATAACATACGAACAAGTTCATGTCTATTTTCAGAAGTCACAGTTTCTCAATGATATGACTGTCGTGTTTTTTGAAAAAATGAAGTCATATTTCGAAAAGAAAGCCAACCATAAAAATTAAGACTTACTTCTAGAGCACTTGAGGTGATTTCTTTCAATTTTTATAAATTGACGAGTTTTGAATAAATGACAACTTCATGAAAAATACTACAAGAAGTGGCTATTTGTATAGTTGCTGTAACAAATACCGATATAATTAAATTTTCCATAATAGTTGCATCTGAGAGCCGTATTTTTGAGAAAACGAANGAGAGACGAATTTTTGAGAAAACGAAAAAAATAATACCAAAAAATTTCAAATAAAACTTCACAAAGATGTGTAAAATCATGCAACGAAGTAACTTTCAAAAACAACACTGTTTTAAAAAACCCCTCTCGAAACAACTACTTTCATATTAACATTGAGTTACAAGGAAGAAAAAAAGTACTTCCGAAACAACTACTTTCATATTATCATTGAATTACAGAAAAAACTCTTCTTTCTATTTATGATCAAATTGAAGTAGATATCATCAACTGGATTGCCACACAAAATAGTATATGTCATCCTCATTGGCGTTCATCCCATAATTTCTTTTTCGTGTAATTCAATGTTTATGTGGAAACAGTTGTTTCAAGAGGCTTTTTCTTTCAGTTTTGTATCTGAATGTTACTTTTTGCATAATCTGCACATCTTTGTGAACAGTTCATTTTGAAATTTTTTGCTTTACTTCTTTTGGAATGTCAACATTTTTTTTTGTGTAAAGATAAAGAAGTAGAGAATCGAAATCTTTCTATACCAAAAATAAATCTCTTCTAAAAATTTCAGTCCATGTATATATTCATAATTTATTGTTAATTTTATTCAATCAATATTTTTTTAGCTGTTTCAATTTCGAATATCGTATGGGTGGTCTTTCGGAATGATGTTCACCCTATATTCAAATATTTGTAAAAACTATCCATTTTTTACGATTTGTGTATTTACTTCTCTATTATATACCTGTAATTTTTTTAAATTCTGGACAATTTCTCACACCACCCCAACCTAAAATGTCAAAATTTAATTGGGATTGAAATTGAATAATATACCATTTCAAGATGAGTAACGCTGAAAAAATTGTTCCTTATCTTGTGATAATGTGAGAACACATTTGATGTTCCCATCTGAAATGACGATCAATCATAATCCTTGGTAATTAATGATATTTCTTTCTTATATTACTCTTCATAAGTTATTTCCACAGGACCAGAATTTGGTAGATTAGATATATAATAAATAAATAGAAAATATTTCATTTCACTGTAATTTATAGGTAGTAAGTATAGTAAGTTTTTCACTAGTTCGGACTTCCATTGTCTGATCTGATATAAACAATGATTTGAAATCCCTGTAAGATCTCAGCTTGGGACCACTCGATGTTGTGTTGATGGTTCCAAACATGGTCTGCTTACACAGAGAGGAACATTGGTTTAGAAGAAAATTAAAGGAAGCCGCATACATGTTGTCCAACAACGTATTCAGCCAAGCCAGCATAGAAATATGCAATATATGGAACCCATCATCGAGCGAAAAATGGTTTTTTATATTTATTTTCATTTTGTATCTATTTATTTTTGAGTTTTGTTCAATTGTTTTATTTTTACTTGTATTTTATTTCACTATTATTTCATTTCAGGTTTTTTTTTTTGCTTAATATAATTGTTATTTACAGCTATTTTTCTTAATTCTTCTTTTTCAGTTGTTTCAGGAATTTCAAATCATTTTATATATTAGACAATGAAAGTCCGAACTAGTGACATTCATCATGAAACATTGTCTATCACCTTCAAACATATAGTAAGTCCGCTTCAAAATATTTTACATTCATAAATCATAAATATTTGACGTTTGCAGAACAAATCAGCTCTGAATTGCGGAAACTGAAGAAATAGCAGTAAGAATTCAATAAAGAAGTATTTTTTTCGGAATTGTGATATTCTCATTCTTTGAAATACATTGTTTTTGTAGAGGACTTGATACTTTCTACTGAAAAATACTGAACAATCTGAAAAATAAAAACTAATTCAATAGAGAATCTGCTGGAATGTAATAATTGTAATTGTTTTCCGAAATGTAGATCATTAAAGAAAGTTAAGTATTAGTATTACATTTTTTTATAATTTATAGGAACAAAATTATGTATACAAGTTACTGACTGATTGGACTTTTCGGTGATTTATATTACGCAGTAACTTTTCGGGGTGAACTTTTCAGTTTATTTTTTAATACACTTCTCTATTGATTTAGTTTTTAATTTTCTGATTGTGAAAGGTTATATACCCAAAAAACAGTAGAAATGTACTATTTTTGCGGGTTATATGAATGTACGATGATAAGAAATTTGTATAAATTCATTTTTCATTTTACATAAATAAAAAGCATGGAAAAAAAAGGTTTCGGCTTTCTACTTCTCCATCTTGGTACAAAAAAATGTGAAAGTCTTCCAAAGAGAGGAAGGATGCAATTTCAAAAATTAACTCAATAAAAGAATGTGTATATCATGCAAAGAAGTAACTTTCAAACACAAATTGGAAGACAAAGCCCTCTCAAAACAGCTATTTTCATATAAACATTGAACTACACCAAAGAAAAATACTTTCGAAACAAATACATTTATATGATCGCTGAATTAAACGAGAAACATTTTTATTCCGTTTGTACATGCTATAATCAAAAAAGTAAAATTTCGCTTACATGGAACACTGTCATCCTCACTGGTGGACACCCGGATGTTTCGCCGTAAGACACTTGCCTTATAGGCTCTTCAGTACCATTTTTTGTCACAAGATGAACAAGTAGAAAGCTAAAACCTTTCTTTCCCAAAAATTGATCTCCTAAAAATATACCCTTTCAATTTATAAAAAGCATATATAGGGTTTTCGGTATCTAATTGATAACTTGGTTACTGAACACCTGGGTGTTCCCATGCTCTACTCACCAAAAATATGAGCTCAGTGAAAGTCTTATAGCGTTCATATTATCAAAAAATATTGAAATGTGGTATAATAAAACGAATATCACCTTATTTGATACGAATTCATGAACTTCTAGTAAATTTTCCAAAAGCCTCAGCTGTGTACATTTCCAATTAACTTTAAATCATCAGGCTAGCCTCTATTCTGTTGATATTTCTTTAGGGACGTAGGCCGCCAAAATTTCTGTTTCAAAACCAGTACAAATTCACCAAATTTAAATATTACCATTATCAGAACCTTCTTAGAATTCTTTGTAACCTAATATTCAAAATCTTTTCAGAATATGTTTATATATTCAACTATCTGTGCCTACTTTCTAGTATCCTTTTGTAAACAAATTTTTGTTAGGATTATTTGATAAATAAACATGAATTAGGTTTTTTCATTTAAAATTCAATTGAAGCATCTCGAGCACACTTCCTATAATCTCCAGTTCATGAATAAACACTTTATAAATGATTAGACACTTTTAAAACAACTGCTAGAATTTTCTCCTAAATATATTTTGGCTTCTTGGACAGACTGCTTATGATTTATTTTTCAGCAGTTCACTCACTTTCTTAACGATACTCTCGAAATAAATCCTCTATAATAGTCTATAATCTCCCTAGTCGTCTGCTCATTGACACTTATTCATTTTCACCCTCGGAACTACTATCTGGCTCTATTTCAACTCCGCTGTCACCTTCTTCGGTATCTCCATCTCCTCTGAACCGATTTACCATTCTTTCAATTTCTTGTTCGTTTTCATAATCTTCAAACAGATTATTTCGCCAGTACGATACATCTTGACAACAGAAACAGTCTTGAACATTTTCTTGAGTATTTATTCGTCTTTTATGTCTTTCCAGTAGTATATGGTAGTCGGTGAAACCTTCTGCTATTACTATAATCACAATGAAAATGATCAGTATAAAGAAAAACCAGAAAATTTCCTGGTCTTCGGCCGACATGACTCTATTGTTCATGTTTCAATCAACACGTTTACTCTCTTTGTATTCTATCGAGTAAGTTTTCGATGCTGTCTGGGATTTTAAAAGAGTGTACTGATAAAGGTGAACACTTAGGTAAGCAAAACCCGAGAATACCTACCATACTGGTAGGTATTCTCGGGCAAAACTATGAACACGAATAATGCATTAATGTACTGGGTGTCCGCACTTCATTTTGTCCCAGTTGAGTATTTTATAGGTGTACAATTTGATAATGCATTCGAAATTCAATTAAAAACTTTGAATGATTGTTTTTGAAAATATTTGAAAACACTGCATAATAGATCAACGAAGTGTATTCTCATGTTACATTTCGTTGAACTAACGGTTAGTTGGTATAATTCGAAAAATATTTCGAAACTATGTCCTATTCATATCAAGGTTTTGTGTAGTAGTCGCATATAATGAATACCAACAACCAATTTCATACATTCACTTATTATTATTCGAATTAATAGTATTCATAACTATAATATAAAACAATTAAATGATTACATTTTATTCAAATTTGGTTTAATTGGGTTGTAGCTAGCTCTAACTGCAATAGTTCTTAGGAAAACATTATAATATTGCACGTATTCCTTGAGAAGATTTTGAATGATTTCCAGATTACAAAAATATTATCAAACTTTTTTTGACTTAATCAGTTAGGCTGTTAGTTGTTAAGTTTGGAAAAAATCAGTTTACTTAGATAGATTGATAGTTCGTATTGGAACCTCTGACGTGAAATGAACTAACTGAAAACACTTTCCCAGCACCAGAAGAACCGCGCGTTTTGCTAACCAAGTTAGCGTCGTCAGGAGTTCATTATGGATAAATTTCACTACTATGTTAGTGTAAGCTAGTGGCCTAACTACTACCTGTTAATAGTACTTTTCTACCATCGTTTAGTATTACCTAACTCTACCTGTTGAGTAGGGGATAGTCACTAACATAGAGGAAATACATAACCAAATTAGAAGTATTAAAAAACAGGTAGTTTAGCATAGGAACAATTATATTTTTATGTTTTTTATTTAGAATTATTACATGTAAGACCATACATGGCTGTTCGAAATAAGACCTTTGTCGCTATTCATTGAACTCGTTCCACACTTTTCGATTTCCAAGCTTTCGAAAGCATCCAGAAACTTGTTTTCATGTACCGGTCTCCATAATTTTAAACATTCCCCACTTATTCTGTGGTCGTTCTCTATGGCATGCTGAGTGACACTAGATTTCTCCGGTCTATGAAACCGAATATGCGGAACATGTTCCTTGTAACGAGTTAATATAGTCCGTTTGGTTTGACCAACATATTTCTCATCACCATTCTCGCAGCTTATTTCGTTAATCCCAGACAGGGCAGTCCGAAAAATAAGAAGTTGGAAAAAAATGCTAAGAAATATGTTGGTCAAACGAAACGGACTATATAAGCTCGCTTTGAAAAATATGTGTATATGTCTTATACGTGATAATTCTGAATGAAGAATAGAAAAATATCAGAGAAAAATAAAGGGGATAGATACTAACATAGAGAAAATACATAACAAATTAGAGGTACTAAAAGAACAGGTTATTTGTTCATTTTGTAGAAATTCAAATATAGAATAAATAAAATAACTGATGTCTAATTTCTACCAAGTTTATTATTTGTTACGACCGGTTTCGGTTCATGGGACGAAAGTTATTTTCCTCATTCTATATTCAAAAAACAGGTAGTTCAGCATAGGAACAATAACAGGTAGTAATATAATACTAACCGGTAATAGTTACGTACTACTAACAGTTAGGCCACTAGCATTTAAAAACACTAATATAGTAGTAAAATTTTACACACTAACGAATGAAATGAGTTCAATGTTCACTATAGAAAATTATTTCTAGTGAAATGAATTATACCTACCTACTTTACCGTTATTTTAACACCTCGATACGTTTTTCGATCAACAAGTGATCATCTTCAAGAGGAAGATCAAACTTGATAGGTTTGGTGTTGGCAAACAACTCCAGTAACATTCATTACTACAACAAAGGGTTCCAAACAGTGCATCACAAGAACTCGATTCATCATGATGGAATTATAATATATAAAACAATTCCTAAAAAAATAAAAAAACCTAAAACTGCTCTCAAATAAAAAAAAACAATTGAAAAAGTATTTCATGAATTGAATTGAACAAACAGGTTCAAATAATTTTTATATAGCCAGAATCAACTGAATGATTTTATATTAAATTTGGATAATTTGGCTCAAATTGATAATTTCAGTTATGTTTTCTTTTTCAATTATTCATACTTCAAATCATCTAAAAAAACAATTTGTTCTGGCCAATCTCAACTCCCTACACTATAGGTTAATGGTCTGACACCTACTCCCCTGGCTAATCCAACGAAGGGTGTTGAATTATAACCGACAGGTGTCAGTGCAGGATTCTTCACTGAAGTTACTCCTGCATATGCTGTTGGCGACACAACTACCGCAATAGATTTTCAATTATTGGAACACACTTGCAGACCGCTTTCGGGCTGTTTGGCCACTCGTCAGTGCAAGGTAGTGTCTATCATCAACATAAAGTCGATGATTTCCGATAATTGAAAATCGAATTCCTTCAGAGTATCGTTCTTCGAACTAGGCTGAAGCGGCTTAAGTGAACGAAGTAACCAATAGCATATCCAAAATTTTACCAATCACTCGTATAAAGGAAGAAAACTTTTCACATATAGTCAGAGGGCATACTTCATATTGCGGCAGTTGTATCGCCAACAGCATATATGCAGGAATAACTTCAGTGAAGAATTCTGCACTGCACTGACATCTGTCGGTTATAATCCAACGCCCTTCGTGGTATTAGCCAGGGGAGTAGTCATTTTCTGATGGGTGTCAGACCATTAACTTACAGTGTAGCGAGTTGAGACTGGCCTGAACGAATTGTTCCTTTAGATGATTTGATTCATAGCCAGTCTTCAAGTATACCCTATATGTGAAAAATTATTTAAATTTTTTTTAGTTTATATTCAAGTTTTCAATACCTATTCCATCCATACCAATATTCATTAAATCTTTGTGTAAAAAATTACTATTAATGTAGAATAGAATAGAACTGAAGTTATTACAAAAAGGAGTACTGAACTTATTGGACTCATCACAAAATATGATATAAATTTAGTATTTAGTCTACATATAAAAATCAGTACGTGAAGAAGTATAAAAACAAAATACAGACATATATAAAAATATACCTAATTACAACATATCAGTTCATGTCTCCAGAAATTCCTCTAATGAGTAGAATGCCCTGGATTCTAAATACTTGTACAGGGAGTTTTTGAAAATTCTCAGATCGGCAGGATCAATTTTGCTATTAAACAAATCTATAAATTTGTTATAGCAGACAATACGTTTATATATGTACGAGTTTTGCCCAATGGTTAATCTTGAGTATGGTTAATGTAGGTTACCACTAAGTAATAAATTCCATAATTCATAGTTTGATTGTCATAATTTAACTGTTGTATTCGAATTCTCAGGAACTTTCTATAATCTAGAAATTCATGTTCTTGCCCACAAATATTTAAATTTTTCCTCTTTTTCTCATTCCCTAATGTTTCCCACTTTCATTCACCCATTCACCTAAAATAATTAATTTTACTGAAAAATTCAATCACACATACAATACCAATACAGTTGCGAGTATTTTGTCATTTCCGTGATAATAGATTTCCATATTTTTTTCCCGCATTGTTGATTTGTTTATCTTTCATTTCTCTGGATAGAGAAAGCACCGGAAAAAGAAAAACTTTCGCGTTTTGGAAATTGTATTATTTAAAAAAAATAGAAAAATACCACCCTGATACCTTTTCGGGTTGTGTCAAATTCCTTTTTGTAATTTTCAGTATGAAATGCAAAGATCGCACCTGCGAGTCACTCGAACCAAAACTGTCATTTTCCAACATTTTTCTGCATTTTGGTGTAATTCCAACAGGACTAAAGCTACAAAAGGAACTGTGTATCCAGAACAACGCTGACGAGCAATCGCACTGGATCATTTTAGAAGTTAAGTATAATGTGGACAGTTCACCACATTATGAAGTATTGCAGAAAGAAAATTTGAGTTGTAGCTCTGGAAAATTTACTGCAAAGGGGCAGATATCATGTCTTAACTACAGTGTACATAGTAAGGTAAAAATTCTCCAATGCATCAACTCTTTATTTTTTTCAACACAGCTAATGTGTTTTTTGGTAAAAATTTCATAAAAATGTTGTTACACATCAGGTCATACATTTTTTCAATAAAAATCCCACCGTCACTATTTGGTGTCCTATAAACTGTGATGACATATAATTTGTTACTGCTGACTGGGAGATTTATAGAAATCACTGTAGCTTCATCACCGTAGATCACTGTAGCTTATCCATTTTAGTACATTTTAGTACATTTCAATAAAATCTTCTTTACAAAAATATTTTTCACTTTTAATTCGTTAATTGAATAGAACTGGCCGATACTTGATAAAAATCCATATTGAAACTAATTAATACAATTTATTGTATGATTTTCACTATAAAGGGTTTTACAAAAACCGCGTCACGTGTCTCGCCTTACAAACAAAATAAGCTTTCTCAAGCGTGAACTGCTTATGCGAAACACTGTTTATGAGAAAACTATTGTATAGCGAAACACTAGTCGCACTTTTTGTAAAACCCTTTATAGTGAATATCATACAATTTATTGTATTAAGCAGTATTAATACATTAAGTATTGTACAGAAAATTTTCAACTGAACCAATACAAATTCAATTATCAAAACGTGATTCTGATATGTATAGTTAAGATATTTATCATTTTTCTGTTGGTCCGTTCATTTCTCTGTATGAGTCCTTTAAAGCAGTATCCTAAATGACACATCGTGTGAATCATTTTTTCTATCGCCTTGTACGTGTTAAATTCTTCCACATCGATTATTGCAGAACGTTAAAGATATTTTTAAATGAATCTAGAGATAATCGACTAACTTTGAATAAACAAACTCGTATCTACCGGTGATGAAATAATACGTGTTGTGATGATTTAAATAAACACGTTCAGTTTGAAGAGATGGAATTACAATTTTAATAGTAAGTGAATTGAATAGCAGTCGTTTCTTAATCAATAATCATTTATTTTCCAAGAAACATACAATCTTGATATCTTGGAAATGAATCTTCAGAAGGGAATATAGAAAACATGAATGAATAAACATCAAAATCAATCTAATTTCAATTTTAATTACAACAAATGAAAAAAAATTGGCTTTGTACTTCTTCATCAGCAAAAAAACCGTGAAAAACTTTCAAAAGAAGGATGATAGGTTGGGTTAGGTAAGTTCCAAAGTAAATGGGTCTATTCGACCCTCCAACGCAACCTGCAAGGGTATATTGTGGCTCACACCTATTCACACTAGACCAAATAAATTCAGCTTCTTAACGAAGCCGATTAGTTTATATGGTGAGTAGTTTTTCATGTCAGATGGTAAGAGTACCGCTCTGTCGAACTCTAAAAACGTGATTCGGTCCCCAGCGGGGCAGGCACAAAGTATGTGCTCTCCTGTTTAATCACTTTCCAATCAGAGGCGACACACACTGTCTTCCGACAGTCCGAGTCTCTGCATATGATGTTTCATATGACAGTGACCTGTAAGAAGGCCTGTTAGACATTGTTGTTCATCCCTACTGCAGTCCAACAAGTGTTTGGTCTTTAACTTCGAACGGTGAATAAACGGCTTGGAGTGAGCCAATCCTGAAAGTTTGTGCCAGAAGTCCATAAATCTTCTTGCCATCCGGGTATTCAATCTTTGTTTGGCAAAGCCTAAAGCGATGCCAATGACAGGTTCTGATCCGATGAAAATACATGCAGCACCCTCCTTTGCAAGGAAGTAAACAGCCTCATTGCAAGGAAAGAAGAACTCGAGTAACCAAAATGAAAACTATAAAGAAGTTTCAGAAACAAACTGAGTGAGTGTAGACCCACAGCACTCAGGCCACACGTGACCCATTGTGAATCCTCTCGAACAGTTGTCCTTCTAGGCCATCGTCCATCCTGCCCTTTCCAGAAAGGTGGATACGTCACGAAACATCTCCTTCATATTGGCAGGTGTAGGCCAAGACTCGCTGAACACACACTATCTTTGGCAACCTTGAGGTGTCTTACAGGGACCTCAGCGACATTACTGTCGTTGCGAGGCTTTTTCAACCTTCCCGGGGTTCCCTCCGTAGAGGTGCACAAGTGAGGGAGCTTTCCTGCAGGGGCAGCCGGTTCCCTGCCTTTTTTTAAGGCGGAGCTCTTGGCGCTCGCCGCAGGAAGTGCCCTTGCTGTTGGAGGTGGCGGGTGCGCTTATAGTTGCTGCCACTCCTGCCTCTTTCGATCTCTTTCTCCTTTTGGCCTTGGCGCCGCAAATGCGCTTACGCCTTGGCCTTTGTATTACATCACGAGGTGATCTGTTATGTCCAACCTCATTCCAAGCGGTAGATTGGGGTGGACATTTCTAATCATTCCCAGCCATCGTATTAGATTGAGGTAAGCACTTCTGTCTAGCTTCGGGATTAGTTTTTGTTTTTGCTGTTTCTGTTTTTGTGTTTGTTTCATTCATGTGTGTAGCAAGGAAGAGTTGGTCACCTCTGGCAGATCCCCGCATTACCAGAGATAGGCTGATTACAATGAAATTTCACCCAATTCCCAATAGGGGATTTTTTGTAACCGCGTATCACCATGCGGCCATTCAGCTATCGGCACGATTCCTTACACCTTAGCTTGGGTAGGCTGGTCCACGGTAACATTTTTTGCGAAGACTTTTGGGGAGTTTCAGTGCCCCTCACCCTACTTATTTCTGCCACTGACCAGGAGTCCGGCGACCCCGTCCGTAAGGCCACATTGGCTTTCCGGACAGGGCCTCCAGTCCCCTGGCCGTTTCCCTATCCGCCACTTGGGGACACGCTCGATAGGTAGCCCAGCCCACGGGCAACCTGAGCGTTACCGCAAAATCAAACAGGCATTTGGCAAATGATTGAACGATCGACAGAAATTGTCACATTTCGGAGTCTGTTCTCCTTTGCCTTTGTAAAAGCAAAACGATCCTTTTCTGGATCGAATCGTCACGACAACCAAAGATGTTCAAAACAGTGGTTAGACACCGATGAGCTACCCAGTCAGTTTCAAAAGGCAAAAACCTACCAAAAAAGACCATGGTTACTGTAGGGTGATCAGCGGCAGGTGTGATTCACTATAACTTTCTGTAACCGGGCCAAACCATCAGAGCAGAGTTTTATTGCAAGGAAGTCGACGAAATGTATCAAAAAATGCGTCAGCAGCAGCCGGCACTGGTCAAAAGAAGAGTCCCGATCTTGCTCCACGAAAATGCTTGTCCCTACGTTTCATGAATCATCGTCAGGAAATTAAACGAATTCGCATCGAAGTTCTGCCTCACCCACTGTACTATTAGTATGAAGTTACCTACGACTTTTCATCCACAGTTTATGACGAGGGACAGTCGAACAGGGTTTAGAATGAGATTTGCGAACAGTGTTGCCAGATTGCAAATATTAAGAATTTTTCCTGTATTTCGATGTTATCATTTTGAAAACACGATATATTACTGAAACATGTCGAATTAATGAGTCAGCATCCTACATAAACTCATTATATCCAACTGTCCCTATACAAGCATCAATACCGAAAAAAATGTAAAATAAGAGTCTAATATTATTCAGGAAAAATTCATTTGTACCGAAACAGGTAGCGTATGGGAACTGGAAAATTGGTTTCTCGGTAAAAATTTTATGACTTGTAAATAGTATGTCATTTGAAATATCCTGCGTTGAACAATACCGAATGCCTAGGAAAGACTCATTCACAAAATATAAAATTTCTCACTTATCAAGAATAGTTTGTTAATGAAAATTTCAGAATATACTCTTCGAAAGTATATCTATCAACGTGTTCAAACAGGTTTGCATACCATACGTTCTTTCGGTGCGAAAAAAAAGGTTCCGTATATTCCAAACTGAATTACTCAAAAAAGTCAAATTTCTCACTTATCAAAAATAGTTTGTTGATGGGAATTTCAGAATATATTCTTCGAAAGTATATCTATCGACATATTTGAACATATTTGCGTACCATACGTTCTTTCGGTGCGAAAAAAAAAGTTCCGTATATTGGGAACTGAATTACTCAAAAAAGTCAAATTTGTCACTTATAAAAAATAGTTTGTTGATGAAAATTTCAGAATATATTCTTCAAAAGTATATCTATCGATGTGCTTAAACAAATTTGCGTACCATACGTTCCTTCGGTGCGAAAAAAAATAGTTCCGTATATTCGGAACTGAATTACTCAAAAAAGTCAAATTTTTGACTTATCAAAAATAGTTTGTGAATGAAAATTTCAGAATATATTATTCAAAAGTATATCTATTGATGTGCTCAAACAAATTTGCGTACCATACATTCCTTCGGTGCGAAAAAAAATTGTTTCATATATTCAGAACTGAATTACTCAGAAAAGTAAAATTTCTCACTTATCAAAAATAGTTTGTCGATGAAAATTTCAGAATATATTCTTCGGAAGTTTATCTACCGACGTGCTCAAACAGATTTGCGTACCATGAGTTCCTTCGGTGTGAAAAAAAAAAGTTCCGTATATTCGGAACTGAATTACTCAAAAAAGTCAAATTTCTCACTTATCAAAAATAGTTTGTCGATGAAAATTTCAGAATATATTCTTCGAAAATATATCTATTGACGTGGTCAAACAGATTTGCGTACTATAAGTTCATTCGGTGTGAAAAAAAAAGTTCCGTATATTCGGAACTGAATTACTCAAAAAAGTCAAATTTCTCACTTATCACAAAAAGTTTGTTGATGGAAATTTCAGAATATATTCTTCAAAGGTATATCTATCGACGTGCCCAAACAGATTTGCGTACTATACATTCGTTCGGTGCGAAAAAAATAGTTGCGTATATTCGGAACTGAATTACTCAGAAAAGACAAATTTCTCACTTATCAAAAATTGTTTGTCAATGAAAATTTCAGAATATATTTTTCAAAAGGATATCTATCGACGTGTCGAATAGATTTGCATATCTCCGAGAATCAATTTGGCTTCAGAGAAGGTCGCTCTATAGAGGATCCAATTTATCGAT